ATTTGCCAACTAAAATGGGTGACTGATACCCCTTGTGGAGGTTTCTGTTCATTTTGTTACACTTTGGCATTCTTTTTTCAGTGTTTCTTCCTCAAAGGATAGTGCTAATAAAACCAAGGCTGTGTGTGTGTATGGGCCATTCACTTAAGAGTTGGACTCAATGATCCTGGTGGGTCCCTTCCAACTCAGAGTACTGTCTGATTCTCTGTATTTTGACCAGATGCTAAAATCCTAGGCCTGTCTTTCTCCTCACCTTCCACCTGCAGCTGAGCTCCAGCCAAGCTATCCACAGATGCTATCTTACCTGGGGAAAATGCATGGGGACCCTGGTTACCTAGTCCCTGACATGAAGGTTTTCAGGGCAGTACTGTGTCAAGCACAATAAAATGCTATGACATTGCAATAAAAAATGGCAATGTTTAATAATAGTGAATTTAAATTCAGCAGCCTATTCTACCTATTAGTTTTGGTTCATTTATATTCTTGGGGCCAGTTCCAGAGATCTTTCAAAGTAGCTGGAGCTTTTGATGGAATATAGGTTACAGCTTAAGTGTTGGCATTCTAAATGACATTAAGAAGGTGCTAATTGTCAATCTTTTTCTTGTCTGAGTGGAACAGAAGAAATATGTCACTATCTTTGTCAGATCTGCTATTTTTTTGTAGGTCCTTGAAAATGTTTCTATACTACCACTACGAAGTCTACCAGCACTTACTGAAAACTTGCATGATGAGAGGTAGAAATGTATTTTGTATTTTTTTCTTTCCTTAGTAATTTTGGAACAAAACTCTTCAGCTTTCCTTCTGCCCAACTTCTAGATGCCGTAAAATTTATTATAAAGCCAACTGATGCTGACACCTTTTTCATTCAGCTCTTACAAGTAAAAAGGTTACATTTGCATGAAAGTACATTTGCATTTTCTTATTTACAGAACAAATATAAGTATATAAGAAGCAGAAATAGAAATGCCTTGTTGGTTATTAACCGCTTCTATAGGTGATATTTGAGGCTTTACTAAACATTGTGTTGTTTTTAATATAGCTCTTAGAATTAAAGCTATGTGGAATGCTTGAAAAACATGAAGGTAGAATGCAAAAACAGGGGTGGAAGCATACCTAATAGCAGCATAAGAGTAGGGAAACACTTGTTTTTCATGTTTTGTAGAGCACTATTTGCCTTTCTGTCTGTAGGATTCTGTATCTGACCCTTAAACTCAGTGGTGGAACTTTAGAATGGAATTCAGTTGATTATATTTGTGTGCCTATTGCTGATTTAGGTGCTGTGAGCTATCCAAGGGAGTTTCATGGGCCCAGTAGATATTACAGAGGACCTGTGAAAGACCCTTCTCTGCTGGGATTGCTGCTGGAGATGGATAATTAGGAGCAGCTCAAGATGCTTTTCTGTGGAGTCATGCCCTGACAATAGTCAGTGCAGTCCAGATAGCCATACGTGTCCCTCTCTGTTTTATGGTGAATTGAGTATTTCTCTGGGTTCTGTGAGTGACTTGATTGTATCTCCACTGACAACAAAGGCAGCAGAGATACTGAGTGCGCATGTACTTCTAAATTTAGCCATGTTAGTCTTTGAGCTGAATTCTACCTGAAGAGTTCAAAACATAGCTGTGCCAGAGCTGGTATATTGAAATTTCTGTTGTCAGCTTTCATCAACCAGCACTGGAATGTCTTTCCTTGGTGTATGATTTTATCCAGAGCAGCAGCTGAAAAACATACCGTGGGTGTCTACCAACTGCTGTCAACTCCTCATTTGTTCTCAGCAGGGATATGGCTGCTGCTGTTCACTCTTTATTCTGGGGATCCACAGATAATAGTTTTTTCTTCTTTCTCTCTCTCTCTTCCCCCTGCCCCTATCTCCAAACATAGAATCACAGAATCATAAAAACACATTGGTTAGAAAAGACCAATGCAGAGAGTGATGAGGTCTCCCCTGAGCCTCCTTTTCTCCAGACTAAACACCCGCAGCTCCCTCAGCTGCTCCTCACAGGAATTGTGCTCCAGACCCTTCCCCAGCTCCGCTGCCCCTCTCTGGACACGCTCCAGCCCCTCAATGTCTTTCTTGCAGTGAGGGGCCCAGAACTGAACACAGGGTTGGAGGTGTGGCCTCAGCAGTGCTGAGCACAGGGGGACGGTCACTGCCCTGCTCCTGCTGGCCACACCAGAGCTGACCCAGGCCAGGATGCCATCGGCCTTCTTGGCCACCTGGGCACACCCTGGCTCATGTTCAGCTGCTGTTGTCCAGCACCCCCAGGTCCTTTTCCACCAGGCATCTTCCCAGCCACTGCCCCCAGCCTGCAGCTCTGCCTGGGGTTGTTGTGACCCCAGGGCAGGACCTGGCACTTGGCCTTGCTGAACATCTGCAATTGGCCCTGGCTGTTTGATCCAGCCTGTCCAGGTCCCTCTTCAGGCCCTTCCTGCCCTCCAGCAGATCAACACTTCCACCCAGCTTGGTGTCATCTGCAATCATCCTCAGTCGTCTGACTGAGGGGCTCTTGATTCCCTTATCCAGATCATTGGTGGACAAAGCCAGAAACTCTTCTGTTCAGCAGCTTGTTTCATGGAGCTTTTCTTTGCAAGGTTTAAAGATACTCTTGACATCCTGGGAAGCATTTCAAGATGTTAAACAGAACAGGTTCCAGTACTGAGCCTGGGAAAGACCGCTTGTGATACATCCTTCTCTTCTTTGACTCTGTTACACCCTCTTTATCATATACATATACGGATAGTATCTTTTTAAGATTGCAATATCTGTTAATCAGGTGCTCTTATTGATGTGGACTATTGTTTACCGCCCCAAGCAGAGTGGAATATAAGGTCTTAAAACACCATTGGGCTGCCAGGGAAAGAAGCTTGCTGAAAAAGACCAGGTTTGCTAAAGAAGAGTGCATTGCAACATCTGACAGAGATCTGTGGGGATCATTATTCCACCTCTGTTTTGCTATAAGGCTCCTATTTCAAAAGATGCAGTGTTCAGAGGACCACTAGGAGAGATGGGGAAGAAAGGTTAGAAAAGCCTCAGGTATTTATTGTAGTGCTGTAGACACAGCCTCCTACCTGGTAAAGCATAGAGTATATTGCACTTGCTCTAAATATATATTTCAGCTTAGTGGCTCTTTTATTTAGCAGCTTATTCCATGGAGCTTTTTTCCTGAAGGTCTAATGATGCTGCTGATATCCTGGGAAGCATTTTCTGTGGTTCAGGGGTTCTAATGTAAAAGGTGTGGTACAAGCTATTCCAGAGATTGTAACAGCTGTTGTGCTGGCCCACACAGGCACAGCACTGTCTCTTTAATAGTCCTGAAAACTGCTTAATTGGTAAAGGCAACCAAACTCAAATTTGTTAGACCTCCCTGCATTATCATTACAGAACATAAAAATATTCATTGCAGAAAGTGAGAATAGAATCAAATACTTTGTTTTATGCATCTATTCTCTGACAGATTTTTTTTGCCTTTGTGCAAAATAGTTTCCCTTGAATGTCATCCTGGCACATAAATATTGTGTATTTCATGCAGATTAATGAAGGTTTGATTCATTTCTATATAATTCAGTTTCTTCCCAGCTGCTAATGGGAGGAGGGAACTGTGTTTGTGTGCATAGACTCTGTTCAGCATATGCTCCATACCTAGCAGCAGATCACATCACCCAGCTGTTGTATCCTCCAGGACAGCTCCAACAGATTCTTCAGAATCTTTAGAGTCAATTTGCTATAAAGCTCACCCATAAGGGTTGAAAAACTTGTCCATTTGCAAGGGACTAAGCAGTAGATAACAAGATTAAAATAAATTAAATCTTTATAATAGAGCATACAAGTAGTTGCATGTCAGGACCATCTGTTTGCCCTGGTGTGAATGTAGAGAAACTCTCTTGATTCAGTAGCAACTAATTTTACCTTTCTCCTGATTATGGATGGCAGGAAGAATTGTGTGTTTATTGCTGGATGTGGGACTTGAAAAATGGGCTCCTTAGTCTACTGTGAGCAGCAGGAATAGATTATTTTATTCCTCCTCTCCTTGTCCAGTGTAATCCAATTTTGACCTCAGTGAGAGCACAGATCAGTTTTCCAGTGTCATCCCCTTTTCCCTGTTCACAAGAACAGCTACCACTAACCAGGATGGCTGGTTGTCTTCTGCATGCCTGTAGCAGCTGAAAAATAAAGTGAAGACAATTACTCCTGTATTGCTGCCCGGGCACTGCATCATGACTAGGCAGTAAAACAAATTGCAGACACTACAGATCCAATTCAAAATGGTGATGTGAATTCCTATTTTATTTCCCAGAATCTTCCTTCATGTTCCAGCATATGATTTTATATGTCATTTATAAGTTCAGCAAAACAAGTTTGCCCTTCTTATTTACAACACTTTTAATGGTCACTAGGGGTTGGGTAAATCTTCTGGCATCTCATGTTCTGCAGCTGCCTATTATGACTAACACAAGTTTGGTATAGCTCTTGCTGGCTTCCTTTGTGCATTACTTTGTTTAAATTGGAGAGTTGTGTTACTTCTTATTGGCATATGTTTACATCTTCAGAACACCATACGCTGTCTGAGACTAATCCAATTTATTCCTTGTTGACAGGAATATAGGAGGGACTGTCACTTACTAGGCTCAGTATGAAATGTGATTTCATGCTGACTCTCCCTCAAAAATGAAAAGCCAACCAAGTGTTACAGAATGGAGATATTTTAAAGATCATGACAGCCGGGAAAGTTTTGCATTTTGCTCAGCCTTTTCCAGATTTTGATGGTTTTGTTGTCTTTACACTCTTAGTACAGCCTTGTTGGCCTATGAATCTTGTTGGATTCATAGGATCCAGCGTTTGCAAGCTTGGAGAGCCCATATGCTTCAGTAATTGTTTTAATTGAAGAAGATTCAGCATGTTGTGACACTGAAGTAGACTTTTTGTGAATCAAAAGTTAGGTCAGTATGTAAGTGGAAATTTAACTTGGAATCTTCCCTCTTATTACCAGAGTATGTTTGCCTACCTGCTAGACACAGTGACACCCTTCCTAAGAAGGGGAACTGCTAGATGAACATGTCTTACGTGGTCCTTGCTTCCTTCTGGAGTTCAAAGCTGTTCTGTGGTTCAAACCTTCATGAAGGCTGAAAGCTGTGCTGGGAGCTGCCGAGGCAGGAACTTACTTGAGGAGAGGTCCCAGGTTATTGTCAGTACTGCTGAAGTTCATCTGTGCAGACACCTCCAGCGTGGGCACCTCTGTCAGAGCTGGTCATTCTGGTCATTCTCTGCTCTCAGTGTGGACAGACTTTTCTGAGGACTTCCTAAGGGAGTGAACTGCCCTGGAGATATGATGGGAATAAGGTGCCTTTGCCTTGCATCTGATTTGTAGAGGAGCTTTGGTGTGAGATAAATACTCTCCTAGTACATGGCAGGAAATTGCACTTGAGCATAGAGGGTGTGCTTCTCTTCAAATTAAAAAATTAAATGCCTCCAGGACCCTTATAAATATATTTATTCCTAATTCCTTTTCAGCCTAAGGTGCAGAGATCAATATGCTGGGCTTTGTTGGACTGTGTCCTATGATTTATATGGATTTAAATTATGGTACGTGTACACCATCAGTGGACTTGCTTTGTGGTTTTGTTCAGAGCTTTGCTCTTCTGTTTTTCCAAAAACATGTTGAGTTGTCCCTGAGAATATTGCCTGGAGTAATGGATTTGTACTCTCTGGGAAGAAATCAACATACAGGTGAATCACAGAGTGGCTGAGCCTGAAAGGCACCTTAGGGGATTGCCTAAGGTGCAGTTGTCCAGTCTGTTGCTGAAAGCAAGTTCCCCAGGGCCATGTCCACTCCAGAGATTAAATAAACTTCTTGGGCAGCCTATGCCATCTTCTGTTCCCATCTTCATGGCAAAAAAATGCTTTTTAAAGTGCAGTGTCCAGTATTTCAGTTTGGGCCTATTGCCTCCAGTCCCCTCACTGGGCACTACTGAGAAAATGCTGTCTCCATCTTCATTACATCCTCTCATTTCTTTTAATTTCCTGGGTATTTTTGGAATAGATACAAGAAAACTCAAATGTTTTCTCCCGTGGCATATAACCAAGACAGCTGAAGTTCTGTATAAGGGGTTTTAGTAGAGAATTAGAACAGATTTTCCCCCTTCTATTTTCAGTCCAAGAGCAGAAATTACAAGGAAGCTCATGAAAATAGCAGTTTGGTGGGGTTTCTGTGACAACACTGAGAATGAATAAAACCAGAGGTGTTTAGGAGAGGATTTGTAGCTTTTGAAGATTTTTTCTCATATCTGAACTCAGCCTAAAATATCTTCCTGTTTTTTCCTAATACCTAAGTATAGGCAAGAGATTATTTTCCACCAGGAGTTTGATGTTAGGATAGAAAAGGATGTATGATTCCTTTTATTTTGTAGCATCTTACAGGACTGTAAAATCACATCTAAATTAAGAAAATAGCTCTCAAAGAGGAAACTTGTGCTACAGCCAATTTTTAATGCACCAGTGTGACAAGCCAACAAAAGCTTTGCATAAAAATTCTTTTCATATTTACATTTATTGAATTGAGTATATCCAACCACTGACATACCAGATCCTTTCCTAGAAGCCCTTATAAAAGGAAATAAATTTAATTGTATTAGAACAAAGCTGGATTTATTTGCAAACTGAAGAGTTTGGGAAACCAGAGACTAATTTTTCTTGAAACAGTTAATTTCACAATAATTTCTGATATTCCATTTTGCACATGGTTGGAGAGAGTGTGTTAGAGTGCTTTGGACCTTAGACAGCAAAAACTTTTGACATACAACAGAATGAAAAGTGTGCCCACTGGAATATAAAATCATTTTCTGTGTGGAAGCATACTTGGCCCATAATTTGTGGAAATATCCCTATGTATTATGTGAGGTTATATTACCCCTACCATTTAAGGAATGTTTATTTCTTTTAAAGTACAAAAATGAATTAGAGAGCTTTGAAACAATGATTGTACTAGTCTTGACAGTGGCCTAACAAAGGCACAGAGACAAAAAGTAAGAGTCCCTTGACCTTTATAAACATTTCAGATTGTGACACAGACAGTGTGGTTTGTTTTGTTTCAGAAGAACATAGTTCACCAGCTTCCCTCTGACTGTGGATACAGTATGTGTACAAGGAAAATGTGGCTTTCCAGTGTTTTCAGGCTAAATCCAGTCCTTCATATTGCTGTAGAATTATCAAAACTGTTTCGTACATTGAGAATCTCAGAATTACAATTCTGTGAAATGCATAATCTACTTCAATTTACAGATGATTGTTTCCTGAATTATTGCCAAAAGTCACTTGAAAATGGACCAAATCCCAATATGTACCCTCAATCTGAAGTCACCCCAGAACAGATTCTACTTCAATGAATTTAGACACTTTGTTTCCTGTAACAGGGTTTGAAAATCAGGTGGGAACTTGATGAACGTCATGAAATAGAGTGCATCCTATCCTACAAAGCGTTTATGGGTGAAATCAGACCTATATTTCAAAGAAATGATGAAGTTAGGATTTAAATAGTTTGATCCGCCAAGTTTTTATAATAAAACTTGTAAAAACCAATGGAAGAGGACTAAGCTGAATGTACTGTTTTTATAAGCCCTGGAGTTTTTCTGGTGTGTGTTTGGAATTGACGGAGTAAAAGAATGAAGCAAAAAAACCTAAGTAGCTCAAGATCTGACTTGTGGATTTGCAAAAACATGAGACTGGATAAACACACATTATAAAGAAATTTACAGCATTGGGTACAGTAGGGACAGTCTCAGATAACGACATGTAGTGTCCAAAACTTATCACTTCTGAAGTCCTGGAATCAAGTTTGTCTGGGAATTGTCCCAGTTTGTGCTGCCAGAGGACCTTGTCTCTGTAGTAGTCATTGTTGGAAGTCAGCAGTATTTTTTAACAATTAGTAAGGAGACATCAACTATCATTGAGCAGACATTTACAGATTGTACATAGGACACTGAGAATTTAATCTGCTGCAGCCATCTGCTTGCACTGCCATTGTAATGCTGGTAGTGGGCTCCAGATATCTGAGTTCACTCTTGGCATCCATGCACATTCCAGCCAGCAGGAATGTGAAGCAGCCTCCTTTTGCCACAAGCCCCTAACCCAGGAGGTGAAGGGGAAGTGCCATTGCCTGCTGGATAGAGAAAGCCTGGACACAAAGCTGTGCAGCCCTGGCCTCATCCTGTGGACAGTGATGGCACCAGGCCACTGCAAGACACACCAGACCATTGCAAGGCAGCTTACCTTACCTGGGAGGAGCTCAGAGAGGGAAGGTGGCTCTTGCTGCTCTGCCTCAGGCTGCAGAGCAATGCTGTGAAAGGGAATTAATTAATGAACAGGTGGTCTGAAAGAGCATCCCTCAGCTATTCATCTTCCCTGGAGACTTCAGAGGTTGGATTTGAAAAAGCATTGCTTAATTAGCTCATCAAACTCTTTGAACCTGGAAGCAATTGGGTTTTAATTCACTTTTCATAACATGGTTGTTTTTATGAACCTTGTGTGGAACATTCACTATGTAAATAAATTCTGTTTTCACTTTTTCCTCTTCTCTCTGCACTGGGCTCATTTAATACTCACTTGGCTTGTATCTTAGAAGAAAACAATCACAAACCGGAAAGACCAGAGTTCTTTAATTTAAACAAATCCATTATCCTGGAGCTGAAAATTTAGTTTAGTCTCAGCAAAATAACAAGCATATGCAGTCTTTGGAATAATTTTTATTTATATATTTAAAAGCTTATTTAACTGTTACTGCCTGGCTGCCTTAGCGTCTAAAGGCTGCCTAAAGATTTAAGGTGTACTCAGTAATAAAGCAGTCAGGAATCTACATTTGGACTTAAATGGAATTCAAGGTATATCTCCAGGGATCAGCAAAATACTGTGCTGAGCTGCCTCAGCTGGTGATTAAGATGGTTTGGTTGTTGAAGGCAAGGCAGAAACAAAGGCATGGCCATTTCATTACACGATGGAGCTCTCTAGTAGCAGTAGTATTTGACAGGTCCTGGTGAAGGACTGTGCCCAAAAGGGAACCTTGTGATGCTGAAGTGCCTTCACCAAACCATCTGTCACTGTCATCATAACTCTCCCATTACTTAAGTCACTGGCCCTGAGAGATTTATCTTTGCATCTGAAGTTAGATGCTTCATACTCTCTACCTGCTGTTTTGCTGGTGTTTCCAGCCCCTCTTATGGAAATGGCACTTGCTCCCTGTGTACACACCTTTGTCATGACATGGTAGCCCAAGCCCTTCAAGACCAGCATGCCAAGCTGAGGACAGCAGTGTCCCAGCTAGGAGCACAAGCTGTGTCTTCCCTTCTTATTGTGAGCAGCAATGTCCTGGTGACTATGGAGAGTGTCGTACCTTCAGCCAGTAAAGACCCATGTCCAGAGGTCAAAAGGCTTTCCTGCAGGATCTAGAGACTTTGGGGGCCTTGAGACCCTTGAGAGCCTGCCTCGTGGGACAGGTATCCAATACTCTGTTTTGACTCTCCATGTAGCCTTTGTATCTCATTCACCCTGGTGTTATTTCAGTTTTATGGGATATGAGTCTGTCCAGACCTTTACTGGCAGGAAGAAGGATTTAGAGCCTTTAGATTGCATTACCCTGCTCTGTAGGGGATGCCCAGACAAGTGCTGCTAAATTCTCTACAGGAGTAGGTTCAGCTAATGCAGGTCTTGTAAAGACATCCAGCCTCTGTGCATAAACCACTCAGGAGTTCTGCTCATTAGCCTTTAGCTACACTTGGGCCTTTTATACACCGCAACATCCTTTGCTGCCCCTTTTGGAACTAGAGTTTCAACCAACAATTCCAGCATTTCAAAAAGTATTTTAGTGCCTCAGCTACTGTAGAAAGCTATGCTATCCTGAGAGTTTACTCAATATTGTACTAGACTATTGAACATCCGCTGTGGGAGACAGTTTCATGTTCAGAGTACCCACTTGGCTAATCCAACAAATGGACTATTTTATACACAAAGTGGAAGACTTGCAAGAGTAGAAGGAGAGAACACCCTTGCAG